AGTGTGTTTTGTTAAAAGGCAAATGCTTTAAGTCAGAGTCAGTGTGCTCATATGTACAGAACAGGGAAAAACAAATGTTCTTTTGTTTTTTATTTTCACAATTCTGAGTAAAAAGTCAGAATTCCAACATTAATCAAATTTTCTCCGAAATTAGACTTTTTTTCTCAGAATTCAGACCTTTTTATTCTCAGAATTCAGACCTGTTTTTATTTTCCCAGTGGCCCTAATCTTCCGTACACACGCTTACCCTTGTAGATACTTTGTTTTGAAATTGGTAGCCTTAAAGGTAAGAGGTCTCACTCTGCCCTAATTTTCCCTTTATGTTATTTACATTGTGAGTCATAATCAGTGGTGGATCGTTAAAATTTTACATGGGGGCAAAGGAGGGGCATGAGGCCTAGGCAGGGTGGCACATACCTCTTTAGAGAAGAATGTGAAAATCCCCTACATGTAAATGGAGTCAACAAAGTTTTCCCAAAAAGGCTCTAAATTTATTTTTTTCATATTATGGTCACATTTCTATTTCTATATCTTCCTTTTATTCTCTATGTTACTTGTTAAGCACCTTGGTATACCCTTGGTTTTAAGTGTGCTTTATAAATAAAGTTTATTATTATTAGACCAGGTTGATTTTTATTACTGAGTGAGTCATCTTTCTCATACACGATCTTCATCCTAAGTTCCCCCCCTCCCTTTCCCTGACGGCTCAGGCCGACCGGCGTAACCACTGCAAACAGCGCAGACACTTGGCACGCGCGGGCGATAATAAAGTTGCAATGAGGAGTATCCAGCGGCGTAACGAGTGACACCTAGGATCGGTAATATGGAGAAACAAGTCACGTTACTGTCATCGCAGCTCTTTCAGAAGCACAGGCAGGTAGAAGTAGTTCTCGGTCGCAGTGTTTTGGCGTGGAAACCGGTTGAGAAAAGTAGAAAACCATGCTCGGGGACTTGTGACTCAGGTAAGTGTGACATAAGTGTAGGTTTCATGGGGGAAACTGACGAAATAGACACCGGCTAAACACATCAGTATTTATTTAACATGGCAAAGTGGAAACGTGAATGTGAATGGTATTTTAGAGTGCAGCATATTTGCCTATATGTTCATCCACTATTTGCCTTCAGGACATGAAACCATTGTTATATATGCAAAAAGGAAAAAAACTGCAGCAGCTGTTTGGGCTCCTGATCAGAGCAGGCACATGTTGAGAAAGCCTCAATCAGGATATGAAGCTGTGGTTGTTCAGCTCCGTTCACTGACAGGTGCAGGTGACACAGGTGTGGGGGGTTTATTGTTCTTGTTGGGGTTTTTTAAAGTCGCAGGTCGTTAGCAGCCGGTGTTTCTAATGTGCAGCCTGCAGGGTTCACTGTTATGGGTTCACTGTTATTTGACATGCCCCCCTCCAGGAAGCACTTCATTTATTAATTCAGTCATGAAATGGTCCGGTGAGTTCTTTGAAAACGTTCACAGTGTCAGCTCGTTTAGAAAACACATTAAGCTTGGTCAGTATAACCTGGCGAGTTTGAGCAGGCAAGAGGAAAAGAAGAAGTCAGAGCCGGGATTGAGTTCTACCCTCACTATATCCACTTTACTGTAACTCCAGGCTGTCCAAACCAGAAGTCTGCTGCAAGTTTAACCCAAGCATTGTTCTATTAAGTACTGCAGTTGTAAGCAGATCTACATAACCACATACTGCTGTTTCAGCTGTATGCTTGCCATAAAAAGATGGCCCTCTACCCACAGCAACCTCACCTAAAGCTTGCGTGAATACCTTGAAGAAGTCTGCAGATTGGCATTTTAAACTCAAAGACCAAATTTATTTTTATGTACAAGCTGTTGGGGATTTTAATAAGGAGCTTTATGGGAATCGACTCGCTGTCTTGGAGTCCAAGTGGCCACTAGTAGAACTGCAGGTTTTATCACTTTCAGGATGTGTTGCTGCTTGCAATCCACACATGATATGAACAGTTCAGTAAATGAGAAAACCAAAAATCTTCGTTTTCAAAACTATGAACTGGTTTCACCATTTTTAAAAAAAACAAAAAAACAAAAACAACATTTGCTGCGTAGTTGACAATTTCACACACTTCCTGACAAATAGTTGTAGTTGCAGTGATGTTTTTTGCAACCTAGAAGCGTCTGTTTCTTTTCTAGCTTACGACTGTCCGTCCATAGTTCCTTGCTTTTGCCTGGATGGCTTTCTCATTTCTCTTTCTCCCAGTTTTGATTACCTAACATATTTATCTTTTATGGTTTTACACCCAGCTGGTGTACTGTGGTCGAGATTAATTTACTGGATTAATGGCATGTGCATTCACTTCTCGTTGCTGTGGTTATCAAGCAGGGCTCCCAATTTTATTTTATTTTTTCCGCCCTTTCCCATCGTCGCATCAGACAACTTCCACTTAATCCGGACCCTCTGATAACCTCCAGAGGCTAATGTTTGTTCATCGAGATGAGCTCCCTGGTCTGCAATTACTGTACCACGATCGAGTAGAGTGATTACAGCTGGCTCCGCACACTTTAAATTTAAACCTGCCCATTGACCTTCCTCAAAGTGGTATCAAGCGCCCTATAATAACCTGCCATAAAGACTTCCATTTATTGAGTCTATGCTCAGTGTAACTACATCAAAATCCCTCTCCCACCCCCTAGTGATCTCTGTGACAAGAGCAGGTCGGCTTTATTGTGGAGTTGGGAAGCAAGCAAGGACACTTTGCCGGTGGGTTCAACATATAACACTTCTGTGGAGTGCGATTATCACAAGTACAGCCAGTACAGTGTGGTTAATCAGTGACTTTAATGAAGAAAAGGATGGTGGCTGGAATTTTCCCCCACGTAAACAAGTGCTCAGTTTCTGTGCTATCGCCAGTGACCTAACTGTCATAAACATTCCACACTTTTCCCTATCGCACTTGTGGTTGTCTTTCACAGTAGGGATATTCCAGATGAACTCAGTCAGGTCACAGTAGCAGCATTTTTCTTCATCACCGTCAATTTAGCTTTTGTAACTCCTAACTGGAACCAAGCTAGGCATTTCTGGGAATCTATTGCGTGACAGAGACGGAAAAAAACATCATAGTCAAAAATGATTCAGCATGACTCAAGTTTGACAGATCCTCCCCAGCTTGTATATTCTGTCTCCGCCCATAGAGGATTTTCCAGAAGATGAAGTTGACACCCGAAACCATAAATTGTGTTAACGTGATAATAATGATGTTACCACTTGACCTTATATGTGAATTTGTTTAAAACAGAGCTTCCAGATGTAAACTGCACACAGACACAGACGCACACAAGCAGACAAACAAAAGCCAGTCACTGAGATGGCCTCTGAGCCTTGGAGTAAATGCTCTGTCCACATAATGGTTGAGTCACTGCTCTGATGCAATTCAGATCAGAGTAAAGTCGTGAATAAATCATGGCATATGCTTTAGAGAGTGCTTCCCCTTCCCTCCAAATCACTATGCTTAGCAAGCAATACTTCCTCAGGCCCTCTAAGCCTGAATGTCTCTCCCTGCCAGAGGAGGAGGTTTAGATTTTTGCTTTCCCATATGTCAGCGCTGCATAGACACCCGGCGTGCAGGGCTTCACTTTTATCAATATTGAAAGTATCGTAAATCGGCCTAAAACAAAGTTAAGAGACAAAGCAAACCTAGGCTGATTTTTGTCCATTAGTCAGACAGGACTACAACTCGGTCGCAAAGGGTTGTGAAAAGACAGAAATAGTGATATAGTGCCTTGTCACGCAATCAGCAGAGCCCTGCACTTTTCTAGACATTGCGCAACAAAGGTGCACATTAGGACGTAAGCCTGACATATTCAGATCAGACAGTAAACTGTGTTTAACCTGCCAGTACAAAGTCCACGTAATGCAGGGATGCACAGAGGTGAGAAAAGCTCAGGTAATAGTCCGTCTTCCATAGTCACTGGTGTCTCCGACCTGCTCCTGATCTACGTAGGCAGCTTCCTCAGCTCAGCTAACCAAATTATTATTTTTTTATCAGAGTAGTGAGGTGGAGGAGTGGATGTTGTGCGCTACTTGGGAGAAACATCTTAACATTGTGCAGAATGTGGATGAAAATGGCTTA